TATGTATAATCCCTGATAATCCCTGATAATCCCTGGATATGGAGCACCGTTGGCATTTATTGATTGTAATTTAATAGATTACACCAATCGAATGGTGAAACTAAATGCTAACATACGAAAGGTAACGATTGTGGACATCCGGTTGCTTACAGCTCCACCAGGACAGATGATCTCAATTTCTCTTGAACGCGATTGAGCGTTGGACGTTATTTTGTCGAAAGATAACAATATTATAATTATTGCACTGTGCTTACGTGATTGAAGGAACAATGAGCAAATTTTAGGGGGCAACGTCTTTTTGTAGTTTTTGTAGTTGCTAAAATGACTGTAATATTCCTTGTATGCATGACATGTATTGGATCGCAGTAATGTAACAGAAATAATGTTGTGGCAGATTTTGCTTTGTTCTGCGTATACACAGTTATACACACTAATGAACAGTAATTCCTTTGTGGTTTAACTTTTCATTCCGTCAATGCCAATGTCAATGCTGGGGCGTCCGGGGTTTTTAAACATATATCTTTTGTATAGTTCTACAATTTGTATTTCTATTTTACATTATACCTCAATTGCAGGAACCTTATTCCAGAAGTAGATATTCGTGGCAATACTAGAAGTCATCTGTACATTATATAATTTGTATAAGCATACTTTCAATATTGATGTCTACACGGTTTTGACATTACAGACGTACGGTGATTAGCCCAGCAATGCAGCTATACAGAGACCAATGTCTTATTTTTCAATACGAATACTTGCATTCTTGGGTGTCGCTGTAAGCAACGCGAATTCAGAATATTCGTATCTTCTTAGGCGAATGGTTTCCAATTATAAATTAATACAGTCTATCATATTACCTATTTTCACCCGCGATATAATCTGCACTGCTTGATATTAAAACCCGTCAATCTCAATTTGATCACCAGTCTTACGCAGTGAAAAGGGGTTCCGTGATCATGACTAATCTTGTATGATTGGTAGTCTCGAGTGGTTCATGTACCCGGTACGCGAGTTAACCTAGACCGTCATATCCTTGGCTATTAATATATAGTGTAGCGTATGGTATGCGATATACACGGACACAGTGTAGCTATCTGTATCTTCATTTCATAATATTTGAAATCATCAAACATGTCTACTTGTCAACAGTTGATACAGTTGTCTGTGTATATATTGTGTCAGGATATGGTTTTTGCGTGCTGCAATGGATGACACAATTAACATATCGGATGCTTAAAAGTAGCTCAAAGAGAAAAAGGG